AGGCACCCATTACTGGCCAAGAACCCAGAGAAACAAGATGTGCATCTAAATAATGTAAATCCCCAAAGCAAGAGCCCAAACTGACACTGTGGCTTAATATGAGGGAATGAAACCCTGTGGTGAGACAGAGAGATACTGAAAGAGTTTCTCAGAGGAAGAAGTGGAAGCCTCATTGCTTGAATTATTTAAATCCTAAATGAATAATACAAATACAAATATCCTGAAGGGCACAATCGCCTGGCAGGTCATTGAGTAGATGGATATATTGATGCTTTTTGTAATTCTGTTTTCATGACCTGTACATACTACTTCCAAAATGATCCTAAGCCATGCAGTTTTGAATCCCTAGGCATTCTAACATAGCAAGCAATAACAACAATGTATACTGTAGGATAACAAACTTAACATTCTATAAACCCTTCCAGAAAAAGTTAACTTGCCTGCTGTCTTACACTTTTGCCATGTGATGTTACCTTGATCAGCCTAGGATATTTAGGTCACAGAAGTTCTGTTATTATAGATTTTTCATAATTCATATACTTGTCATAGAGTTACAGTCCCTCAGAGATAATTACAAGTAAAACATACATTGAATGAAATCCAAAATAAGTCAAATATATTTTTTGTGCTACTGAGGGATTAAACTAGCTGTAAAACTAACTAGAAATTTGTAATCACTTTTTAGAACTTAATTTGGTACAGACACTTCTTTTGTCTTTTTCTGATACTAAAATCTTTATATTCTTTCTCCTATTGAGATATCTGCAGTCCTGAATATTAGTAAGACACAATGAAGTTGTAAATCTTCAGGCCAAATGCCATCATCACCTCTGTGCAAGTTCATTCATGTCAGTGGTCTTGCCAGAAAGGAAATAGAAGCCTTTTTTTTTTTTTTTTTTAAAGAGCAAAACTAAACCACAAAATAACTATAATCAGACCTAATTCAAGGTGAATTTTATAACAACAGTAACGAAGCATTCCCATGTTACTATGTAGGCAGCTGTGTAAAGTGTGTCCCTATAGGATTAGGAAAAACTTATTGGTCCTGGAGCATCAGTGCAGTGCAGGCAAAGATAAGTTACTGCTGGAAGAAGCCAGCTCTGGCAACAGCAACTGCCACCACGGACACCCTATGACTGTCTCAGTAGCATCAGCTGAGATTTGCTGTTTGGCTGTTCATGATGTTGAAACAGCTGATTTCTATCTTCTCCAACAGAGGTAATTTGGCAGTCTGTTGTCCCAGGCAACCGCATACTTTGCCTGTGCCTAAAGCCCAGATAGTCATAATCTAATTGATGATCATCATTATTGTGAAGGATTAAAACAAAATCTAGAGCTATAACTTGAAATTTTGGAAAGATATTAAACACATAAAAGGCAAGGAAGCAACAGTGATAAAAACTAAAAGGTGATGATCAGAGACAGATCTTTCAAGGAACCACAAAGACCATCTTAACACAAAATGGGATTCAAAATAAAGTTTCAGTATTTCATTTGACATCTCTGAAGACACCCCCAGTCTTACTTAAAATTGGAAGGATGAATAAATGACAGGGCACACTGGAGACACATGGTAAAAGCAACACAGATGTCCCATGCTAGGTGGAACAATGGGGATGAGGGGAGAAGAAAAAACCCAAGAACTATCAAGACTTAGGAGTACATTGATTCAGCATATTCAATAAAGCATTTATTCAAGCAGAAATATACTAGAAAACTTCTGTCTGCAGGAAGGCAAACAATAGAATCATGACAATAATGAAATGGAACACATAGGACTTTGAAAAGTAACAACATATGGTTAAAGATTATTTAAGTTGGAAGAGGAAAGCCATTTTTCTTTGGGAGAGTCTCCTAGAGCATTAAAGAGTAAAAGGCACAGTCAAGTATTACAAGAATGCTGGACTAAAACTGGCTGTCTCCTTTATTTATTTATTTTCCACAAAAAATATAATGGGAAATATGATTAGAACTGTTTCTCCAGTTGTCTTTTCCTAACAAGTTTAACTGCTAAATGCTAAGATGAGGAAACAGGTCAAAAACTCATCTTCAGGCACACATTCCTCTAAATTTTCTCAGGGAACTTGAGAAGGAAATGGTCAGAATGTCTGCAAAAACCTTGAAACCACTATTGCAAAATTGAGTGCTATCCTTGAAGCCAGGCAATGCCACACACAATCTGGCTGTGGGAAAGCAATGCTCAGTGGGGAGCTATGACTGCGTTGTGATGAGAGGGTGGTACCATGAGGGAAAATGCCACAAGGGACAGAGAACACAGGATCACCCCTGCTGGATGGATTTTTAGCTCCGGAGACACCCTCCCTTGGTATTTAGGCTTCTCGCCAAGCTGGCAACTGTACAACTTCATAGATAAAACGTGTATCTCCATGGCATTTTCATTTCTTTCATCACACTAAAGAGGCACGCATGATGAATTCCAACTTTCTCACTTGCATGCATATTTTCCCAATCAAATGCAAATTCTTTCACATTATGCCATTTAACACCATCTCTGAGTTAGATGGTAAATTGTCCAGTTTAAATATATTTTCCTCTCGCACTTCTTTCACTGTTGGCTTGCTACAGAAAATTAGAAATCATTATACACAATAGTATTAAGCACTCCAGGAGCAACAGATCATCTACAAGACTGCAGAGGTGTAAATCACAGAGATGAAAGATTTTCTGATGCCACCTATCGCTCATGTAGTTATTACATCCCATCATTCTTGTGAATTTGTCTCCTGCTAAAAACCACATCTCAGATCTTGTCTTTCAGCAGCAGTTATCTTGTTTTCACTGGGGTTTTCTTGATCCAGAAACCTAAACCAGCCAAGATGGAAAAAAAAAAAAAGGAAAGAAAAGAAAAAAAGTGTACTCTAAGTGTACTCTATTTAATGTACATTCACACAGTCAACATTGAACTTCAAACTACCATGAGAATGCAAAACAGAAAAAGTCCTCTGGAGCCACAGAGTTCTGGTCCTTGCTATTTCAGTTTTCAGGCAAGCACAGTGTGCCTATCAAACTTGACAGAATGGAGCTTCAGTGAGATTTGAATACTTAAAATACCTTTTATCTTTCTTTTAATTATTTTTTTCCAGCCAGGCACCTAAAGCACTGAACTCTGGACTCTACTGGCAGATAGTTGATCTGGTTTGCTGATAACTGTTGAACACCGAAAACAAACACTGGTTGCTCAGCACAGGTCACAATTTTACTGGGATTATTTTCTATTGCTGTAATAGAAACATCAAAGAGCCATTTTTAACGTAAAAATGAGAATGAAGTCACTGCTGGCCATTATGACTTGGCTAGATGCTAGGTGTTATACGAAGTGTTAAAATAAATATACTCATCTCACTCTGTGTACACTAATTCTACTGTGGGAACTGAAATATATTTTCAGGGCAATATATGTTCTTGGTCAAGACAAAGAGCAGAAAGAGAAAAATTCAACCTGCAGCCCCATCCACTGTCCAAACTACATGAAAAGTATGTAAAAATATTGTGGTTTAGTGTTGATTAGAGTCACAAAAATGTTATACTTCTGCAAATTTTATGATTACAAAGAATATATGGCTGTTATTCCTTTGATCCATACCTCTGAGGACAGAGATTGAAACATTTGCTTCTCTAAATAAGCCACACTCCCTAAGACTGATTATGTACCTGATTATGTTACACATAACTTACTGTAGCTGAGGCTTTCTAATTAGTATACAGTCAATTGCTATGCAACGTTCTAAATACAATTTAAACATATATAGATGATATTTTCAGACATCTTTTACAGTTGTGTAAATCTGGAATTATTCCACTGAGATTAAATTAAACGTAGCCCAGAAATGTATCCGCATACTCAACAGACTGTGTCCCTCCTCTGATAAATAGAGGACGACACACGGTAGCAGTGAAACAAAAGCCACACCTGAGAAAAGCCCGGGGGAATAAGGAAACACCTGTTTGTGTTGCGGAAGAACAGGTGGGAGGCGGTGGTTTGCCAGCGCAATATCCTGCACTGGCGGTTACAAAGAACGGTGAGCAGGTGCCTCTCTTTTTTTCCCTGTGAGTTTACTAAGAAGCCTCCGCTGCTTTGCGCTACCCTGGAGATGCCTTTCCAGCACCGCATGGCTGCCCCCAGCTCCCTCCACGTATCACCTCACTGTGGTCCCCTGTGTTACCACAAGGCACTGTGGTAGCCCTCCCATGCTGAACGCGCATCGCTCTGCCTGCTAGATAGCGCAGGAAGCCTTAATTACAGCCTGAAAATAATACTTGCTTCCCCTGGGAGCTTCCCTAGTTATTCCTGTGGGATGGCAGAAGCTGAAGAAGCGAAATGGGGGACGACGCAGGCGCTCCCCGCAACCGGCCCCGGGAAGAGGCGCCTCCGCGCGCCCCGGCGGGGCGGCTTCAGCACCACGGCCAGCTCCGCGCGGGCGGTGAGCCCCGGCCCAGCCCCGCGGCGCCGACCCCGACCCCAGCCCCGGCGGGGAGGAGCTCGGCCCCGGGACGCAGCCCCAGCGGCGGGGCGGTCACAGCGCCCGCTCGGTCCCCGCCCTGGGCTGGGCGAGGGCTGCTGCAGGAGCTCTCCCCCTCCGCACCCGCGGGAGCCCGGCGAGCCGTCCGCACCGCCCTGTCGGCCCCTGAGAGGAGGCTCGCACCTGCTCGGCACGCGGGGAGCGGCGCTTGCCGCCGGGGAAAACCCTCTTCCTCGGCAGGAGGGGTGCGTGGAGCGAGGGGAAGTCCTCGTCTGGGTCACGCTGCCGGAGGAGGGGGCGATCCCTTCCATCGGGGCGGGGAAAGAAGCCGAGGGCTCCGGTGGTCCCTTCCCCCCCCCCCCCCAGCCATTGCTCAAAATCGACCCCCACTCGCGCCTCCCCCCCCCCCCCTCCCCGACGGGGCGTGTACAACGCTCTCTCTTGTCCCACATCCCTCCCTCCTTCGGCCCTGGCAGCGCCTGGGGCTCCCCGGCGGGCCACTCTCAGGGGCCACGAAGGCGCTGGTAGTCCCGGGACGACGACGGAGAAGCTGGAGCAGCCGAAGGTGGCGGGGCCCCCCGGCCACTAGCACCCTTGGTCCCCGCTGCACCCCCTGCAACCGCAGCCGTGGGGGATGTGGCATGTCGCGGTGCTGCCGGCGTGTAGCTCATTCCTGATGCCGCTGTTTGTCGCTGAGTTTTGAAGAGATTTATTGGCTGGCTCTTGCTAAGCCATGCTTGAGTAATCCGAGCTGCTGAGCGCCGTGGTGGAGCCCGGAGGGGGGGACGTCACTCCCTCTGGCAGCGGAGCAACATTAGTCTTCCAGCCCTCTAACCATCGCTACAGCGTCGGAAACTGCCGGGTCACGGCCATTTGCTTTGGAAAATTGGCGATGTTTGGTGCTAGAGATCGATTACTCTTGTAATCCAGCCCCCCACCTCCTCCTGCTTACCCCACCCCTACCCGCCCCAGACAATAGCGTCCGACTCCTCCAGGAAAAAATAGAAAAGAAAGCAAGGAAGGAAAAGAAAAAGAAAGAAAGAAAAAAAGAAACTGGGGGATGGATCTGACTCCAATAGGAAAAGCGTGTATCTAGAAGTGGTGCTAATGGGAAGAGATTTCCGAGCTTCAGAGGACGATGATTTGTCACAAAGGGTAGCCGGCTCGGTGCTCTGGGCTGGAGCCGTGTAGGAGATCCTTGGAGAAGTCATTGTGCACAGAAAACCGAAGACCTGTACAAACATGCCTGTTCGCAGAGGTCATGTGGCACCACAAAATACATTTTTGGGTACAATCATACGAAAATTTGAAGGGCAAAGTAAGTTCTCTCTTTCTATTTTGCTACAGTAGTTTGATTCTGCTTGTGACTAAATGGACAGCAGCTCCCGACTATTTTAAGTTTGTAGCTTGGAAAGAAAACCCCAGAGGTAAAGAGGGGATCTCTGGCAGGTGTAACATTGGGTTTGATCTAAAATACAGATTACCGACTTGAATTATTGGGTTTTTCCTTTTTTTTTAACCTCCCCCCACTCCCCCCAGTAATTCAAGGATCTTGACTGTATCCATATTGTATAGCTATAGAAGTTATATCTCTTTGCCTTCTTCTGAACCAGTGAGACGGCTATAAAAGTAGAGTGCTGCCTGTGCAATGTCTATAAAAAAAAAGCTAGATTTATTATCTTTATGATTGTTACCAATTATAATTGTCTTTTCAAAATAAAGCATAACAGACTTTGATTTAGAGGAAACAGATAATATGCAGAGGAGTTATTAAAGAGAAAATACTCTCTTACCTTGTTGTCATGACTGCATTTTAGTATTTTAATATAGCTGTCAAATATTTCCACTTTGTTTATGGAATCATAGAATATCTACCAGACCAGTGCAAATGCATCCTCAGAGCCTGTGAGATCTTTTCCAATGCAGCAGTTTGCTACCTGTCAAGGAGGCTGAAGCTGAAGTGTTTTTCCTGGCCAGAACTCTAGTTCACTGTTACCAATAAGAAGGAACACTTGATGCTTAACATGAATTTCATTTAGAAACAGTAGTTTTGATATATGTACATTTATTTAAATATTTAGCATAATTTTAGTATCAGTCTGGTGCAAACCGTTGCAGCTAATTCCAGTCTATATACTTCTTTATACTTAAGGCCATGATACTGATTTAATATTTATATTACTTGGGAAAAAAAAAAAAAAGAGCATGCTTGTAGTCCCAGTTTCTCTAAATGCTGTCAGTGTCGCTACTCAAAGTTTTCTTGCAGTGAAGTGTGTATATTTTGAAGTGTATAAAGCACTATCTATTAAATAGGCAAGTGATAGTGAAAGTTAAGCATGATGAAAAGACAGTAGAAAAAGTGTGAGTGAAATCTCTTTTTCCCTCCAAGTATTTCATTGTATTCAAAGACAGAATATCTTTAAAATATTGAAAACTCGTACTGCTAACTCGGCATCACATAAAAACACTTCTATGAAGCAAGGGACCTCCTAATGTCATTAAGTAAGCAGAAATTCATGCTATTAACAATAAATGTACCAAAGCTGCACATTTATAATTACAATGACAGCAGCGTGTTATAGTGGTAAACAGAAAGAAATGAAATAATGGTTGAAAACTTTTCAACCTTTCTGTCAGGTGAGGGTTTGGGAAGGGGTGATGTACAGAGGCACAGAACTTGAGCAGACTGTACAAAATGTTTCCAACATCACAATCTTTGGTTTTCATGCACTCTTCATGCTCCTTTTTTTTAACTAAGGAATATTTTCTTTTATAAATGTAACTTCTAAAGCAATCACAGAGGAAAAAAATACTATGATCTTTCTAGATAGTTTTGTTAAAATACTGACTACAAAGTTGCTGCCATTCACCTCAGTGAAAATCCCTGTGTAGTAGAGTGAGCTGGTTGGATTTTATCTGAGGAAGCCCTTCACCTGAATAAAGCCTCCTTCCTGAGGCCCCATGTCCCGTCCAGAAGAAGCTACTAACTTTTCAAGGACTTTCCTGGAGTTATGGCTGGCAGGATGGCACTCATCATCACCTGGGTTTCAGTGAAGCTAAAGAAGACAAAATTTTGTCCTTTTTAGACAAAAGAGTTTTGCAAAAGACTTGCATAAATTGGGTTTATTTCCTTAAAAGACAACTGTCTTAATCTTTGATGTATTTAAATTGGTTGAGGTTTATTTAAAAGCTATGTACCAAACTAGCTGCATTACTTGACTGAAAATCTCTGCATTTTAGGCATCCCAGTGAAAAGAAGGGTTGTTTAGCATCCATCCATGCAATTGACACTTTATGAAATGTTGAAAGAGCACTAAAAAATGCATCACTTTTATTGCAGATAAAAAATTCATCATTGCTAATGCTAGAGTGCAGAATTGTGCTATCATCTACTGCAATGATGCGTTCTGTGAGATGACCGGGTTCTCCAGGCCAGATGTCATGCAGAAACCTTGCACCTGTGATTTTCTTCATGGGCCAGAGACCAAAAGACATCATATTGCCCAAATTGCTCAAGCACTCCTGGGGTCAGAGGAGAGGAAAGTGGAAGTCACCTATTATCACAAAGACGGTAAACCCTGGTTTTATTTTCAAGACTTTTTGTGTGTTTGGTTACCAGTTGATTGGTAAAAGTGTGTTTGATTTGCTGCTCAGATCCTTTGTTGCAGTAGTGTTGTAAATTCCTTGAAAGTCCAGTGAAGCACACTTAGTATACCAGTAAGGGAATGTGCTCTGAAAGTAGTGGGTGTCTGAAGTACGCTGACTGTAGCACTGTGTTTGCAACTGCTGAACAGAAGTTATTCTCTCGGTTTATAGATCTCCTGAAGTAAAGAGCCCTACAATGACCAGATAAACACAAACATAGAGGGGACATACTGTGAATGTTAATTTTTATGAACTCTTTCATCTCACAGGGCATAGGAGTGGTGGATGAGTTTCACAGGGCTTAACTCTGCCCACCTCACACAGTTGGAAGCGAACCTTGATTTAAATTCAGTGTTCTGCTGGGAAAAGTACAACAAAGTTAAGTAGGAAAAATTGGCCTCTTAGGAAGAAAGCATTAGCTTATAAAGAAAGGATCAAGTCTCTGAAAAGAGAGATGAGATAATTGTGATGTTGGAGTACCTGCAACTGAACCACAGAAGTTGTCCTAAATAATGTCAGAGTAAAAATTTTGGAGTGGCTAAACTATGAAGAGTTTCCCTATTAATCAGTGAAGACTCAGTATGAGAAGAATGGCTAAATTTGCTGCACTGGTGCTTTTTCCTGTTAAGAGCCTAGGATGAATATATGACTGTACTTGCAGATTAAAGATGCATATGCATGAAAACTAATTATGAAACATAATAGTTATATGTAGAGGTTTGGGTTGGTTTTTTTCTTGTTTTTTTTTTTTCTTCTAGTTACACGGGGTTATTTACAGAAACATCCATCTTTCAAACAAATCCAAGTAATGGATAAGTGTGGTATACCTTATTATGTCTCTTGCTGTGTACACTCCTGGGAGAAGGAAAAGGAAATTCATATTCAAATGCTGAGCTTAAATTACTTCTGGAGAAATGCCAGCGTGCTGTTTGCATCAATTTTAGAATCACATGCAATGGATACTCTTGCATTTTGAAGTCACGGAGTTAAACCCTCTTCTCAAAAAGTCTGTTGTTATCTTGGAGAGACTTAAATAATATTATTTTTAGCTCAGGCTGGTATAATTCAGATAGGACTCGAGCCAACCATTCTACCCACGCTACCAGTATTTAAGCATATTCTTCTTAGCACATTCTCAGTAGAGTCCTTTATTCTTAGATCTAGTTTGTTGGTCTGGAGCAGATTTTGGTCAAGATTTGCTGTTGTAGCTGTGCTTTCAACACAGGTTTCTCAGGAGACCTGACACCATGTGTCTTTTGCACATCTAGCCTGTGTTTGTGTTAATTTGGCGTGTGTTAAAAATAATAGGAGAATGTCACTGCTAACTTTCACAGCCACCAGCCTGGAGCACTGTTCTGACATCTGGTTGTTTTAGAGTACTTCTGCCTCCCAAGACATGATGAGGGAGGGAAAGTGCTTAGCTAAAGTGCTGCTTATCTGTCAATTACCGTAAATATATATTTTCCTAAAATGCTGAATTCTGGCATTACACAACACACCATAATCTATTTGAGGCAAAACTGAAGTAAAAATATCTATAAAAACTGCCACGTCTTCCAAATAGTTTTGGATTTTGAAGTGTATTATGTACGGGAGTTGGGGATTATTCAGTGTAAACAAACATACATAAGGTTTCTCTGTAATTTCATTTCTGTGGATGGTTTCTTTAAATTACTAGACCATATGTTTAAAGGTTAAGGGATTTCAAAAGCACAGACAACAGTTCTAGACAAATTTGGGTTGAATCCCTCAAAATTTTACTGGTTGGAATGTGAACAGGACTTACCGTGTGCACTATATGAACTGCTAAATTTAAACAAATACAGTTGAATTATTTCAGATTGTAAATATAATTTAAAATACTAATTCACTGATTACAGGCAAAAAACAGCAAAATAGTCTGATACTCAAATGTGTAAATGTCTGACAGCTCAATTTATATATACAGGCTTTTTTGTTTCATTCCACATAATGTTTGATTTCTTTACAAAATGATTAAAAGATCTGAAGTTTTTGTAGTAACATATAATGGAAACTACCTATATGACAGATGTAATGAACATCAGTAAACATACCGTATGATTATTGTAAATCAGTGCATAGATATACCTCACTTTTCAACTTCTTCACATTTTTTAAATTTGCAAATTTGTTTTTGCAATTTAAAAATTATAACATACTCTCTATATTGTAACAATATACTGAATGGGGACAGCTAACAAGGACTTCCTCCAGGATTTAAAGCAAAATGAATTCAAAGAATTTGCTACAAATCTAAAGAGTTTAGTGCTGGGTTAGTGGCTTATTTTGTGCTGTGTGCATTGAGTGAATATAAGAATGTTTTAAGGGGTCCATCACAGCACAATTAGAAATGGAACTTTCTTTGTGTAACCCAAATTATTCCAATGAACTACCTACTGCTTGAAAGTTTGATTCTACATATTTCATAGCCACCCGTTGTATAATATTTAACGTAATACTAAGTATACGGAGGAGGAAGACAGCTCATGAAAGTGTGAATCGCTTGAGGTGCCACTGACTGGAGTTTCTGAATACCGTATTACACAGTCCTGAATAAATGCCCAGCCCGTTACTCCACATCACATTAAAATTTACTGTACATAAGCCACTGATTATATTAAAAAATATTTTAATATTTCAAAGTAAAACAAACATCAGTGGGGTCATATATCCCCTCACTTATAAAGCTGATTCGTCATCAGATGTCCAGCAATGCATATATCAGAATCACTCTACAACTGATGCTTTTTCTTTTTAATTCTAAATACCACCTCACATACTTTTAAAAAGTCACAACTTTAAAGTTCAACTTAAAAGGGTATTCTTGCAATATGTGTTGCATATGTATTGGGAATTGTGATTCTGACATTCTCTACTTGGCTATAACCCACTGTTCTAGATGACAGTGTAAGATTTAGAGTTTTAAACATCTTGATGCAAGACTGAATGCTGCTGTTCACTGTTTTAATCTTTAGGCCAGATCACACGCTTAAAGGGGGACAGAAGGGTGGGAAAACTTTCGTAGCAGACTTATTTTTCAGAAAAGGGCAGTTGCTTGAATTTACACTGCCTTAAACAAAGCTGACAGCAGATAGAGTGGTCAAGGGAGGACGCAAATTTGATGTATCACGGGTTTGTAAACGTGTTACCTAGACTGGCCATGTTTCCCTTTTCACTGTGCAGTGTGGAGTGGGTGCAGAGGAGAAGGAAAGAATACTTGCGGTAGCTTTGTCTAATTGTTTAGATGGCATAGAGGTGGCATGCCAGCATTACTTGCACACTCAGCAGGCACTGTCCTAAGCACTTGGGTGCCCTATCTTCACAGAAGTTTTTTAACGTATGCAGCTAAAAGCCTTACTAGCTCATCTTGCAGAATTTGTATCAGAGTGAGATTGTTACAATAGCCTACATTTGGTTTTAATTTCTCGTCACTCAGGTATTTTCACAATCCAGGCAAAGTTCTAGTCTTCTGTCCTGTTAAGAGTAGTGCCAAAGGAGGTGATTACATAGTTATCAAATGAATTAATTGCTACTGAGAAAATTGGGAACAGATGGATGCCAAAACTAAGGGTCCAAATTTATAAGTGCTCAACATGTAAGAAGCTCCACAAAAGTCACTGGATGTATTCATGGGATTAAAGACTCAGTAAATTTCTTTTTTAATGTAACTATCCCTTTTAAACAAGTACAATAGATAAATACAGACAAATCACAAGAACTATTATTTTGAAACATTTTTTTTTAAAGTCTTGCCCATTAGGTCTGTTTAATTAAAAATTATACTCTGATATAAAAGTAGCAGTATAGTGTATTCCTCAGTATCTCACAACTTCATTTTCACAAATCGTATAGCAACATGATCTGTATATAGTTGAAGGTAATATACTGCTGAATTCTTATTTTAATAAAGTTATTTGTGGGGAAAATGACAGCTCTTCCTTTGAGGATTCCATTTTGCAGTTTAAGTCATGGCATAAATCATACTCGACAGATGTAAAATATTGCTTGAAGTGGTAAAGCTGTAAAGCTTTTGACGTGAAAAGTATAATGGGGATTCAGAATGGATATATGATAATCAGACAGGATTGTAGCACGCTAAATACTTCTTACTCTACGCTTTGTGGACAACAGTGGTATGTCTGAGCTTACAGAGTTTACCTGTTAAAGGAGCTCATTTAAACTTACACTATACACATCAGATACGGGATAAGAAGCACTTCAGAAGAGGATAGGTTTAAGCAAAGATAAGATCAAGCAATTATCTGAAGAGTGTTTACAAACCTCACAAATTACTTGCCACTTAACCAGTTTGAGAAATTAAATTTGCTACAACTGACTGCAAATTAAACATATTTGTATTTTCAGAACACATTAAGATTCCAAAGTAATATTTTTAAGGCCTTTCAAATTCTTCTTTTAGGATAAGAAAAAAAAAAACAACACAACAAAACGTGTTTTGTGTTCTATAAATGCTGTGAACCTACCAGTCATTAAAAATGCAACTTAAAAGAAAGATCCTTGCATGTATGTCAAGTCCCCTAGATTACCTCTAACATGAAGGTCAGCAAGGGCAGTCTTGACTGGAGATTCAGTGCTTGGAGCAGAGCTGATGAGAAGGCTTATTGAATCAAGTAACTGTCGAATACCTTGCTGCTGTAGTTCTTGTTTAAGAAATACTGTTTGTATTTTGATAAAGAAACTGTTGCCCCCAACAAAAAGCTGCCCAATACCCCTGTCTTAATGCAAGTTTTTCTATACATCCTTAAAAAGCCCAGTCAAACATACAACCTTGGATCAAATCCAGAATGTTACTGAAGGTGTTGAACTAGTAGAAGTGGATGACCTTTTCTGATGTCTGTAATGTAATATTTCTACTTCAGGTTTTAATACTTGTCCCAAGAGACA